TATATATATAATATATACATGTACATATTGTACGCAGTGCACACTGCAGAAAGTTTTGTTAGATCAAAATCTTCTTTCGATGTACTTTGACGCATTTGAGTGCGACCAGGTTTTCTTTTATAGAGTGGCTAAAGCTGCCACTTTGGCACACTTTGTTCAATTCTCTCAAATCAAATATGTTTTCCTTTTTAGGTCACCATTTGATACATTTGATAGGTTTGGTGAAAACGGCCAATCAGAAGACAACTAAGCTGTGCAATGTCAGATTTTTTGTATGAGCGCCGACTGCGATTCGCCCTTTTCGAACTGACGAAAAAAAGCTGAGGCCAATTCGATAAAGTGTGCACTGGCACCACAATGAATCGACCAGACCCCATTTTATCTCATCATGCATATCAGATTTTTATGAGTGGTCGGCATCCACCATAATTTAACATTTGTGCAATTCCCACAACCGTTATATCCACAGCTTATGTATGGTTTATGATTTAGTTTTTCTGGATGACGTTTCTGATAGTAATGTTACACTTAATTGTTACTCTCTTCTTTAGCTTTTATGGTTTTTATTGTTTTTTAATAGTTTTGTTCTTATGATTTTGTCAGGCTTACAATGATATTATGTGTTTGTGAGTGCGTCGTCACGTAAGTTCCTTATAAACCCCAGCATGCTATATTATTACAACCGTATTTTCGTGGTGAATTCTCCTGTCCAGCAAAAGTTAGTGCGCATGATTCCTATCAGCTGGGACGAAATGGAAAAAAATAAAAATAGTGCGCATGATTCCTATCAGCTGGGACGAAATGGAATAAGTGTACATTCCTATCAGCTGGGACGAAATGGAATTAGTGTACATTCCTATCAGCTGGGACGAAATGGAATAAGTGTACATTCCTATCAGCTGGGACGAAATGGAATTAGTGTACAGTCCTATCAGTTGGGACGAAATGGAAGAAGTGCACTTTCACGTCTGGCAACTATGTTCTTTGTTTATTTGACAGCCTGGCCTCAGAAAAGTCTTTCCTGTCATAATTTCTGCATTATAATGAATGAACAGTGTGACTATTTCGTCTTTGATTCACCGGGATTTTTTATTTAAATTTTTTGGGGGTTTTGGGGGGGGGATTATTTTGCTCATTCTGCAATATTAACGTTGCAGTATTAGATCAAGGAATAAGTGTTATCCATGTAGAAGAGATACATGCATATCTGTTGTAGTTAAATATTTTATGTTAATTATGAATTGAACTTGAGGGTCGAATTGTGACAATTTGTTTACCCCTCATTCAAAGACTGTCAGAGATAAAAGGAGAGCCAGTTAAAACAGTCATCAGAAAAGGCCATTCTATGCAAAAATGCAATGCTTTGCCCTTATCCGAGAAGGCAAAGTGTTCGATCTTACCTACCCTAATGGCTGGGGTGTGACTGAAAGGAGCCAGGAGCAGCAGTAGAAAGAGAAAAGAAAGAAAGAGAGGGGCAATTAGGAGGGGGGAGGAGTGAAGGGGAGGGGGTAAGGGAGTAGAGATAAAAGCAATAAAATAATTAGAGAACAGGACTTAAGAACAAGAAAGAAAGGAAACAGGATACTATTTTTCAGAGAGGAATTTTTATTTTCGCAGCTGGAAGGTTACCAGCAAATGTTTTTGTTTTGTTTGTTTGTTTGTTTTTACTGAGAGGCAACGCCCTTCTAGACCACGAGAGCACTTAGTTTGAAATTTAAAAAAAGACTCCCCCCCCCAAAAAAAAACAAAAACAACAAAACAACAACAAACAAACAACAAAAACAACCAGCAATTAAAACGAAAAAGAAAATAAACAACAACAAACAAACAACAAAAACAACCAGCAATTAAAACGAAAAAGAAAATAAACAACAACAAATGATTTTAAAAAATCTGCCAAAAACAGCGGGAAAAAACGTTCTCCACTCAGTCACGAGCCCTGTAGTGACGCACAAGCCAAGTTGGCCAAAGATAACCACAAAACATTTTTCTTTAAATCCTGGATACTTTTCTGGTGTAAATACACGATCTGTGGGTGGTTGGCAGGCGCTCTGGTACTGTGGTTTGCTCTTACCAAAACCCCTATCATCCTGATCTCTCCTCCTTCTGTTTTGTGTTTGTCACTCTCTTGAGACACCTCTAATTAATTGACGGCTCTTTTATGACCTGATTGCGTGGCCAGCCCTGTAAAACTTTCACTGAAACTAATACTAACAACGATGTACGACTTTTAGGAATGTATTCCTGCCTGTTTTTCTGTCTTTGTTTATGTGCATTTGTCACCTGCCAGTGTGTATGTGTGCGCGCGTGTCTGTGAGAGTCAGTGACTTTGCAGTTTGACTACATGCACGTTGCTCCAACTATCACGTTTACTAGTGCTGCTTTTGTAAGTGCCACCGTCCCAACTGTCACGTCTACTAGTGCTGCTTTTGTAAGTGCCACCGTCCCAACTGTCACGTCTACTAGTGCTGCTTTTGTAAGTGCCACCGTCCCAACTGTC